AGAGTTCAACCCCGGGCTGGGGCGGAAGTGGGTATCCATGTAAAAGTGAATTTCTTTGTGCTTTCTATATTAATATTTCTTCACTTAGGGCAGTTATGTTAGTTTAAGAGTTGTTGTAAATTGTGCTTTATAAATAATAATTAATTTCATTACAACATGTATTGGTAACAATCCTCTGTTAAAACTAATGTCCAAATAACTGTATCTCACTTCTATTCTCAATGACCGTGTAGTGTAGGGCAGCGCCGCGAGAATTCCATCGGCATCGAAAGCAAGTTTTTTTGACTTGCCTAGATAGCCGAGCGGTCTAGCGCGCTGTTCCTGCACTGCTAGGAGACAGATTCCGAAGGTCGAGAGTTCAACCCCGGGCTGGGGCGGAAGTGGGTATCCATGTAAAAGTGAATTTCTTTGTGCTTTCTATATTAATATTTCTTCACTTAGGGCAGTTATGTTAGTTTAAGAGTTGTTGTAAATTGTGCTTTATAAATAATAATTAATTTCATTACAACATGTATTGGTAACAATCCTCTGTTAAAACTAATGTCCAAATAACTGTATCTCACTTCTATTCTCAATGACCGTGTAGTGTAGGGCAGCGCCGCGAGAATTCCATCGGCATCGAAAGCAAGTTTTTTTTACTTGCCTAGATAGCCGAGCGGTCTAGCGCGCTGTTCCTGCACTGCTAGGAGACAGATTCCGAAGGTCGAGAGTTCAACCCCGGGCTGGGGCGGAAGTGGGTATCCATGTAAAAGTGAATTTCTTTGTGCTTTCTATATATATATATATATATATATATATATATATATATATATATATATATATATATATATATATATATATATATACATATATATATTATCATGTGTACGTCATTTCATTCATGTAGATAAATAATATAATGTGGACACATAGTGTGCATTGATTGATTTTAATTAATCACTACACATAGAAAGACTACGAGAAACAAATGACATTGTAAACGACAGCGCATATGTAAGGCCACAGCCAATGTTTGCCAAAATAAAGGTTTAAACAAATATCTTGTTGTCATTTGCCTGTATAAATAATTGTAATAAAGATTCTAATGATTAAATATGATGTAATAAAGTTAAATCAATATGTCAATATATTTCTCAAGCTTCTTAAAGGGTGTGGGTGACCTAACCATACAGAAAGCCCATAGCTTGGAATACATAAAAGTAATATTTGAATTGTAGATTTGGAAGAGTTAAGTTCCATTTACTTAATATTTTCGAAATCATGATAAATAAAACTTTATTTTTCGGGAAAAATATTTTTTTCTTTGAAAATGTATGATTTTATGATTATCTTTTATTATTTGAAGAATTCATGTTACAATTACACATTGAAAAATTTAGCAGAGATATAAAAATCACCCATTTTTTGGTGTTCAACAAACCAAGAGTAAAAGAATAAGATAGACTACAATTTGAAAATGACGTCACTATGTAGGTCACTTGTGACGAAAAATGGCCGTCTCAGTAGAACTCTTTCAACAAATGACTGTACAAATTATTGTATATTTCAGAAATCCCTCTGCAGTATCATATAATAAATTGTACACAGTTTATTGAGATAAATGAGTTCCTATAAATTCAATTAATGATTGGATTGATTGTTTTAGTAAAGGAACGCAGATGGTTAAATATAATACTCGTCATCTTACCCAATGAAAGCAAGTTAGAAAAGATATGTGTTTTTAATTAAGCAATTTGCTATTAAAGACCTCTAATTTACACTTTGAAAAATAGATGAATATTTGATCAATAATATAATTATTAAATACCTGAGATATCGTTTACTTCAGATTTTAAACATATTAGATATGATAAAAAGGAGGCACCTATTCTCTGTCCACCTTGCATAAAGGTCTCTACCGAGACAGAAGATTTGTGTTTTGATGGTCGCCATGCTCAATTTTGGTAAGGATATTATTATCCAGCCATTCTGTTGCCAAGATTTGATTTCTGACAAATGAACTGTTCTTGTCATAAAAATTAACTAACATGGGAAGAAATATAAAAATCTTTCAACTTTTGTGACAGAACTACGTGGAGGGTGTCACGTGACCGCCAATATCACTTGATTCGCTCATGCGCAGAACGGTGGTTGATGTGCAGTAAAATAGGAGAGGATTAATTTAAAATCAACATTGAAACCAAATATTGTTTCTTTGATGGAAGTTATTCAATTAGTTCGCGAACTTTTTGATCACCCCTCGTTTACAATATACTTTTATAACTTGCATACGGAATCTTTATACCTCAGTTCATTCAATATGGAAGAACATGTTCTACGTATGAACGATTTCTAAAACCAAGTAAGCGTATTATTGACTAAACAAGTTGATGAAACAAAAGTTTTAGCAATCTCGTTTAAAGTCATCATACCCTATGTTCTGTTCATACAATGACTTTGTCAGCACTATTGAGTCAAATGCTGTTGTACGTTTTTCATACTCTACGTTAGTTGATTATCTAAACACTGAATTGTCGATAGATGTTTCCGTTATTGTATTGATTTATGGACGTTTGATCTGAATACAGTTCGTTATCTCCGTATGTTTCATAATAAAACACATTTGGTTGTAATTTTGTGCGAATTCTAAGAATAAAAATCCTGAAAGATATTTTATTTTGAGACAAGCACGCTAAACATTATGCTATATAAGTTTTGATCTGCGCGTACATTTTTTTATAAAAATATTTTTAAAGTATAAATGTAGTTGATCTCTGATATGAAATTTTGGTAACTAAAAATATATATTTTTCTTGCAAACTTTCAGAATTTTTTTTTTCAAAACAATTAAGCGAAGACCCACTCATAATGAAATTAAAGCTTTATAGTGTTCCAAAATGACTCGTTTTACCTTTATTCCGTTCGTGAATTCTCCAAAGTCAGAGAATCTTTTATGAGTAATAGAAATTTTACCTATACATAGAGTTAACTTGAAATATTATGGTTAATTTTGATAATCTGACATTTTTTTTTAACTGACAATAGGTTTTGAAATAAATGACTACTTTTAACCCACCCACCCCGTTTGTAAAGTGTAATTGTATATTTTGAACAAAATGTCTGACTATCCGTCATTCTGTTTGTTATGCTCTGTGGTATACGTAAGCGTAGTCATGGGCATCGTTCGGACAATAACCCTGCAAAACAAGGCTTCTCTTTTGATTCATTACTACCTTATGTAAATCAACTGTTAGGCCTACATCATATTTACACAAAACTTTCCTCTAGTCCTTTGAAACTTTTAAATAGTCTTCTTGAAAAGACCAAGGAAAGTCCAATTTTTGAATCCTCGTCTCCAGAATATAGGATTATATTTGTGATTATTGATATTGCATATCATAGGCTTTTTTAACCCACACATTTTACGAAAAAAATGCAGATACAACAATTCGTCTTTTCCTTGAACTTAAATGTGCCACTTAAGGAATTGACGCAGTTAATATAAGTAATATTCCTAATCCCAAAAGGGTCCAATCTTGTATTACACCATATTTCAAGTTAAAAACTAAACCTTTTATTTCCTACACATTGGTTATTGCTATTGATTCTGTTGAAAATTACGCCCGACGATGGGCCAGATATGAAAAAGAAGACGCTGACACCTTGTCAGAATGGGTTAAATGTATCAGATCCATGTTAAAGTCGCATATTGAAATATTGAAGAACAGTATGAAAACCATCTACATGTATCCTTCTGTGTTCAATAAACCAGAAATGAAAAAAAATAGATAGATTACATGATCAGTACGTACTGATCCCTGCCCACAAAGTAATTAACAACATTGTCTTCGTTTAGAAGGCTCATTATATAAATTGTATTTTAGAAGAACTTAGATATAATTCAACGTCTGGTAATCCTACTTTCATACTCATACTTTTCTCTCTAAGGAAGAAATTCTTAAAAGTCAAATGTCAGTTTTAAATATTTCTAATATTCCACAGTGCCAAAAAAAATTAACTACCCTATATATATTGGATTCCAAAACTTAATAAAAATTCTTACAAAGATACATTGCAGGTTCCAGAAAATGTTCAACCAAGCCTCTTTCGTTACTCCTCACTAAGATAATGACAGTAGTGAAAGATTGTCCCTATGTTAACGCACTTTGATTTTTTTCTTCAAAGTGCGTAATTTTTTCAAAGTGTGATGCCACAGGGGACATTTCAATATCCATAACTTTCATAGGATGTATTTTCTCTTTGAGTTATTTCCCTTCGTCGCCACCTTGATGGTCAACCACGGAATTTTTCCTACTTGTCTTATCAAATTTAAGATGACGTAGCCGTAATATTTGGTTGAAAATCTTTATGGAATAAAAAATATGTAATGAAGTAATCTCCAACACGTGCATATTTCTCAGAAAATTAACGCTTTCTACGGCTCAATTATCGGTATATAAAGTTTAAGTTGGTTGTGCAATGAAGGAATATGAACATATTAAGGCTCCATATGGTTGCCATCTTTTGAACAAAGAATGAACCTTATGAACCTAATGTCCAGTTTATGTGACTAGATATTAACCTTTGCAAATGACCGGGTTACAAAAGTACATGCACGTTGATCCACTATAAATGCTATAAACAGTTGTGTTATAAGAAAAAATGAAAATAATATCAAAATAAGAGGGGAAATAGCTTTAAAACAAATTTCATTTTATATGTAAAACCTTTGAATATGTTCAAAAGAAAGATTTGATTACCTTATATATTTAATAAATCATAATTAGATAAAAAAAATTAAAAGTGAGTTTTCATTCTCTCCCCAAAGAAATACTGTATCATAAATACATAACTTATAAACATAAAAAAATAACACAATATGATCGTTGGAAGAAACGAGAAACTGTACCATAAGATGGATTAATTTAGGTTTATCAGAGAGTGGGGCATGTATTCACCATTAAATAAGGTCAGTGTCAATGTATTAGGTCTTATCACTTCCATAGCTCCTGTCATGTTAAAGACAAGAACTCAAAGATCTGTCAAGGAATATGTAAATAATGTTTTCTGGATTAAGCTTTATTGTGGGTATGAATTATTATCTCTCTATAAATAAGGTTTTACATTCTGTGTTCATTTACTCAATAATCCGATAAGCATTATAAAAAAATTAACTTGACCTCCAATATGGTTGCCATAATAAAAAAAAATCTTTTCTAGAAATTCCTTATTTTGCTTGTGTCGCAATTGCATAACGTTATAGCTGTTTTTTCCTGAAATAGACAAATGTAGACATAACATATTTTCTCATATTTAAGTCATGTTTAAATATGCTTTGTGCAATAATGACTTCAGCTTTACCATTCGATATTTCTACAGTTAATCAATAAAACGCAGAACTTGCATTTCAACGTAAGTTTTCAAATATTGAATGATAGAATCTTTTGCACATTGATGTTTTTTTTTTAATTTTAAGTTGTCTTAAAAGGTACGTAATTTTCGCTCTCCAGATGCAGTGTGACAGTAAAAATTTGTATTTTTCAATTTCACAACCCTTATTATATTGAAAATTTTGTAAAAAAAAAAAAAAAAAAAACACATGTTCACTAACACTTTTTTAGTCTTTCTAAAAAAATCATCATGAACAGAGTAATAGGACGAGAAACATGGAGAATAAAAACTTCACTAATACACTGTTTGGCAAAATAATTTTCTTTAGGTACTTCTTCCCCTTAAATATCCCGGTTAAATAGGTTACTGTAGTCTGCATTTTCACTGAAGAAAAATATTTATGTGTTGGCGAACCAAAACTATGCACAGGGGCGTGTTAAAAATTTGAGTATAAGTCACGCATTTCGTGATATAAAAGTTTCCCTTACCTGTTAAGTGTTATAGATAAGAATTTTGCTTTGATTTCGCCTTTGATAATTGTCTTATAATAGAAGTTCTGGCCCCAGGATCATGAAACAGTCTTAGACTTAAGTCAAATTTTCCATCGCCCTTAAAATGTTACATGTAGGTAACTTTTTAATTAACCACAAAATATGTAAATTACAACTCTTTTGTGAATCAATCTAAAACATTCTTTATTTGATCTATTTGATCTCAACAACATTTAAGTATTATATTAAAAAAATTGACTGAAGCTTCAGATATTTATTGATCCCATGATGTGATTAGCAAACCGAAATAATTTTTCTTTTATTATGTTAAAAATGCGCAGCACAGTTAAGGTTACAGTAAGGAGGCGGGGCCTAATTTGTACGGGAAATGTTTACTATGACGTCACACATAATATAAGGTCTTCAAAATACCACAAAATGAAATTATTTGCTGGTTCGCACAGCTGGATAGCTTTATACTACATCCAAACTTACTGTTACATGCAGTATTGTCGTTTGTTAAATCCCACACAACAGTATATAAACGATGCATCGATCGTAATGCACTTGTCAATGTGACGTCATCTCGCAAAAATGACGCAGTTTGTACACAGTGAGAGGCTGATTTTGTACAAAGAAAAATGTCTTTTGTTCTCAAATAAAATATTATTTGCAGTTAAATAAAAAGCCGTTAACTTGGATGCGATGTCTTTTATAGTATTTTATTTATAAACTGTACGTGCATTCTCCAGACAAGCGATACTGTCGTGTGTTTGTATGCAGATTCATTGATAAAGTAAAGGAAGAGCCCTAATAAATCGATTTATTGCAAGGGCATAGCCTCAATGTATCTTGTCAAAATTTTACACATAAACTCAAGAAGCATTAAGATATTTGAAAAATGCTGCGAACCTCTTGAAATCTTGCAAATAAATTAATTATAGCTATATTTAATGTAGTTGACCAGCAAAATATTCTTAAAAAAGGGAATCTTTATAGGTTCGCAGCACTTTTCACAAACTACATATAGTGTTGAAAAGGACTATAAAATAAACTAAGATTTTTAACTTGGGTATGCCCTTGCAATATTGAAATTTATAGATGACCTCTAAACTGCAAGTATAATTGCCCAAGTCATGTGACGTCGACATCACATGACAAGTCTAAATAAAAAATCTAAATGTCCCCAACATGTAGATATAAACCACATTACATTTTTTTTTTATATCAGCGAAGTCCTAAAAAGAATCGCCCATCCTAATAAAGTACATCTGTATGTATTTTTTATCTTTAAAAATCGCTAATATTTCCATTGGTAACCTTAACTGTGCTGCGTGACGAAAATGTTAAAAAGCAGGAAAGAACATGATATTAAACTAAAGGCACGGTAAGTAATGAGCTCACTAAATGATAACCCCCTTTCATATGTATATACATATATATAATGGCAGTGGGTTTTTTTTTTGCTAAGGAAAACACAAAATATGTATCTGATCAAAAAATGAAATAAGAAGTGAACAATGGCAATATGTAATAAAGATTTTGTGAGAGTATCATCAAATTTCTCGGACGAACGAACGTGCAGATGGACGAACATCTTAATTTCTGCATATACCCTACCTTTTTTCAAGCGGTAGTATAATAATCTTAATATAAATGATGACAAACAGAAAACGGTGATCATGTTTTGTATACAGTCATAATCACATGAGCAACAAAAAACTCAAAATTCGAGGGCAATCATACCTAATGAAATGAGATTATTCCTCTTCCTTTTGCAAATAATTTTTTGTATAATTTGTGTTTGATGAAAACATTTTATTTACCTTTCAGGCCTTGCACTATGCTTTAAACTATCCTTATATGCAGACGGTACGTTTAAGCACTATAGCACATGTCTCATTATATAACAATGCAATTTATGTGTAAATTATGAAAAAATATTGACCAGGGAGAAGTAAAAAATTACAAAATATTTATTCTTATTACATTTTACATGAAAGGATCGCACACAAATTCCATAGTAAACTTTAGCAGTAATGAAACCCCCGATGTCTCCATACCAGCAGTACTTACACTCAAAACAGGTGATGACGTCAGAATACCTTGTAACACGTCATACAGTGACGAAAAAGTCACCGTTGTCTGGAGTTACACAACAGTAGGCGGGTTATTTTCCTTCATTCAAATTTTTCCAAAAATAAAAATTTACTTAAAAAATTTGCCTATTGTGATACTGATGGAAATGTTAATTTTAATATATTCTTTGTTATTATCTACAGGGCACTTTAGCAAGAAATGTGCAGCAAGACGGTAGAGATCTGGTGATAACTGGTTTTACTAATACGGACGCAGGGATATATCTATGTCACGTGACTTACGGTGTCCAGGTCTCATATAAGCTACTTGAAATTATTGCAGGTAATCAATATACATGTTTTTTTGCTAATTTTTGTTTCTCTACAAATTGATTTGAAACTCATTGTCATTATCTTGCGTGTCTGTGTAAAAAAGATTTCACTGTTTTAAGAAAAACAAACTAAACATTTACATGTGAGCTAAATATTTCAAATTCATAATTCTTTGTTTTAATTGTTCAAGTAAATCATGATTTTTTTCTTATAGAAACTATTCTAATTTTTACTTTTTATGGTCTTGTTCTTCAAATTGTAAATATACATGTACTTTCGTTGTTTTATATACACGGCTAGTAAAACAAATTCAATCTTTGACAACCAGGTGGTACTGATATTTCAACTGCTACATCCTTTATTCCACCACATGCCTCTATAACTGATCACAGGACGATTCTCTATGGAGACAACGTCACACTAACCTGTCATGTGACCGGAAGTCCACAACCCAGAACAATATGGCTTTTTAATGACGTAATCAGCGTCTCTTCATTGTATATACCTACTGCAATTGTTTCTTTTTTTCATTCATAATATTTCTATCCACTTTTTAGCTAAAATATTCACTGATTAACTTTTATGCATTGATTACATATTTTTAGATATCGTTGGTCCTATTACATTTGGCCGAGCCGACAAATTGAATACAATGCATTAGCTCTCTCTTATTTTCCCTCTTCATAATTGTTTATTTCGTTCAAGCCTAATGTGAATTTATCGACCCACGATACCTTTTAGTTCCTATTGTACATTCTTCCGCGCCGTGTGTTAAAGAGATTTGAATGTCGCAGATTTCAAATGGAGTTCATAAAAAAGTTACACAAACTTCAAATACATGTGCATTCAACGTTAACTTACAGTTTCTTAATGATTAAACAGTAAATGAAAATTAGAAAAGAACAAATCTTCAAAATCTTACGTCTCTCTGAAAAGTTTTATCTAATTTCTATTTCAGAGACTGATCAAAGATAACCGTATTGTTGAAGAAGGTAACAATCTACATGTGAACAACATCACCTTAGCTGAGGACGGAATCTTCACTTGTGTAGCCAAAAGCTTGGCAGGAGAAGACAGAGTTCAAACAAAAGTCTACGTCGTTGGAAGTAAGATATATGTTTTGTCTTTCACGATTCAATGAAAAAGATGGTCCATTAGGAAGACACTGTTAACAATTCATATGAAATAATGTTTTCATCTCTGAGATTATCATGCATATAAAGTAAATCTGATTGTTATAGTAATGCCAGTGATTGACTACCTGTCGGAATCCGTCTACGCATTAACTGGTTCTTCAGTTAGTTTTCGCTGTCATGCTTCCGGTATTCCAAAGCCAAAAATATTTTGGTACTTCATATCAGTAAGTATTGAAAGTATTGAATTTAATTTTACAGTAAATGATATAATTTATTTACGTGACATCAAAATTAAATTCGAATCAATGTTTTTAAAATGAAAATGTGCTAACCGGGATAAAATAAGTTTATTTTTACTTAAGTTTAATGTGAAGTGTCAATAAATATTGGGTTATTTTCAAACTCGGACAATAATAGATTTTTCTTTACATCCAGTGACCAGTTAAACAATTTTAAGAATATATTTCTGATAGTTATGTAGGACAGAGTACCATGAGTATCACCAAATCAGTACAATGCGTTGATCTTTTATCTTCATACGTAAGAAAGTACGTGAACCTATTTTTCTGAATTATTTTTCTCTCTTTATATGTAAAAATAGGTGACGGGTGAAGTTGGAATCCCTGAATCAAACTATCAGATCAGCCCAGATCACAGTAAACTCACACTACACAGTGCTCGTCAATCGGGAACGGTATGGTGTATAGCCCGGAATTCCTATGGGGCTACAAATGCCAAAGCCTATCTCTGGATTCGCTTGCGTGAGTGAACTGTTTCATAAATTTAGCTTTATGCTTGAATTATACATGTATTTTTAATAGTGCATTTGATTAACACATTTTTTAAATTCAAAGAATATATATATTATCTTCGTTTTTCTCTTTGTAGTTTTACGTTCATATTTGTGTGCTTTTCTTTCCAGCTGACTTAATAGGATGAACAGAATATGTTTTGTTTTGTTTAAAATAAAAAAAATGAAACCTCTTTTAATTTATTTTAAAGTAATTTAACCATAACAAGTTGTAGTTTTGATGTCTTATTTTTATTGTATGTGCATATGGGTTAGAGGCGTACATGTGTACTTTATGTACTACGTGCATGCACACGTTCAACGGCAATGGAGAGGTTACAGGTTACAAGTGACGTAACAATTTGTACACGAACGTTGACGTCAATGTCTCATTTTTATGCTAAAGTATATAATTTCTTTAGAAAGGAATCGAAAATCTACTCTTGATCGAGTAGATTCTAAAGTATTTTACTTGCCAATGGAGTAGGTCGGGTCCAACACAGGAAAACAAACTTAAACATTAAAATATGTAGGAAATACATACTTTTCAAATATACTTTTCATCCACCATTGGGCTAGAAACACAGAAAAGTAATGCTTTAGAAATATATGAAATATAGTCATAAAGGCATATATATGTCTTAATTTTTATCTGTTTATTTCTCACATGCCACCAATCAACCTTTAGCTAGAGATATACGTCAAAAAGCTGATTAAATTGTTTTATCTAATGAGGCATCGGTACATATTTTAATTCATTGTCCCTTCTCTTCTATTTTACTCCATGGATTTATTGGAATTAATAACATGTATTGTATTTTATTCTTATGTAAATGGTTCTGTTTTATACCATATATAACTTGTATATGACTTCAGTGTAAATGCCAAGAAAATCTATCGCTAAGGAATTTTAAACTAGCGTCTCAAAATGCAGGTAAATTTATGTAGGAATGTGCAATTTTTCATATTTTAAGGATAAATAACACAAGCAAACTTTTTTTCAGAAATCAGCATTATTTCTCATAGATTTACATTTAAACTGGTAACCTGGATAATGTTTACCAAGTAGAGTGGGAGAATTATATAAGATCTTTTCATAATGTTAAAAAAATGTGCAAAATTTTGTTTGGAATTATATAGAAGGCAAAACAAAATCTCAAATCTAAGCACCAAGGAAAACCTACGATTTCTTTTTAATTCAGGGATTTATTATTTATGTCATTTTAAATCGAAATCAGTCTAAAAATATATATCAAGCCGTGCATCCATTTTTTTTGTGGTAAGTACCCTTAAAGCAAATTAATCAAATACTGCAATAGACAAAACACAATATAAGTATGAGGAGCAGGTTTATCTCTAGTTGAAGGACTTTGAGGTTGATTTGCCTGGTTATCCGAAAGAAGAGAAAAGACCATCTCAATGAAGACGAACTTAAATGACAGGAGCAGGACGCCATAGGCGATTAAAACACGATCAGTGAGGTACAGTCTCGGGTCATAAGTATTCGTGAAAAAACAAAACGGCTGCAATGTAAACAAAACTAGGTCGCCTTTGTTTCATCAAACTTTTAACTTAATTAAAATTGCACAAAATTAATGTTTCGTAGGAGAGCCTTTTGACTTTATTTCTGCTTTAATTCTTCTTGGAATCGACTGGTATAGTCTTTTAATGCATTGAAGCGGGATATTTTCCCAGGCCTGTCGAACGGCTAGTGCAAGATCATCGTTGGTCCTCAAATTTTGAACATTGATACTAAGTTCGTGTTCCATTTCTCAGCAATTTTCGATAATCTTCAAATCAGGAATTTAGGCTGACCATTCAAGTGTTGTTATTCCCTCTCTAGTCTCGAAATCTTAACTACTCTTGCTATATGCACATATTGCATATTACTGTAATCTGAGTTCCTTTGTCTGATTGTGATTTGGTTCACAAGGATCAGACATTTGCAAATACATGTGATAATAATTAAAACAAGAGGCCCAGGGGCCACAGCGTTCACTTGAGCACATCGGCTAGAAGAAAAGAAAATATCAGATCAGAACTGAAAGTTACTGGGGGGCTTAAATTTCAACCACTCAAGGGGTCATGATTTGGAAAAAAAATTAGAATCTACACTACCTGAGGATGATTCCATGTAAATAGAAAAATATCACTAATCATGACTTTAAAGTACCCGAAAAGAAGATTTTAAAAGGTTTCCCTATATATCCCTATGTAAAATTTTGGTCGGCCATTTTGGCCCCACCCTAGCCCCAGGGGTCATAATTTGAACAAACTTGAATTTACACTACCTGAGGATGATTCAACGTGGGTTTCATCTTTCCTGGCCCAGTGGTTCTTGAGAAGAAGATTTTTAAAGATTTTTCCTATATATTCCTATGTAAAAATTTGGTCGGTCATTTTGGCCCCACCCTAGACCCAGGGGTCATGATTTGAACAAACTTGAATCTACACTACCTGAGGATAATTCCACACGAGTTTCATCTTTCCTGGCTCAATGGTTCTTGAGAAGAAGATTTTTAAAGATTTTTTCCTATATATTCCTATGTAAAACTTTGGTCGGCCATTTTGGCCCCACCCTAGCCCTGGGGGTCATGATTTGAACAAACTTGAATCTACACTACCTGAGGATGATTCCATATGAGTTTCATCTTTCCTGGCCCAGTTGTTCTTGAGAAGAAGATTTTTTTTAAAATGCCATTAATTTTTCTGTCATTCATAATTATCTCCCCTTGGAAAAGGGCGTGGCCCTTCATTTGAACAAACTTGAGTCCCCTTTACCCAAAGATACTTTGTAGCAAGTTTGGTTGAAATTGGCCCAGTGGTTCTTGAGAAGATGATGAAAATGTGAAAAGTTTACAACGACAACGACTACGACGACAAAGACAACAACGACAACAACGACAGACAACGGAAAAATTTTGATTAGAAAAGCTCACTAAAGCCTTCGGCCCAGGTGAGCTAAAAACATCTTTTAATTTTACAAATCAAATAACGACCGTTGTTATTGCTTTATATTATCATTTAAAAACATATGAATTGCTCAATAATAAAAAATAATTATCTTTACATTCAATTCAATCGAAGATCTTCTCATGATATCGACATTGCACAGTCTAGTCTATGTTGGTAATGGCAGAATAACTCAACGCATGATCCATAACAATATCATTTGAGCACAAAGAAAAGAATTTTAAATTTTTTGAATGCACCTTTTACAGAAAATCCTTATTTGCAGTGCAAATAAAGGTTCTAGAACTATTAGATAAACTGTCACAAAAGCTTGACGTTTATCAAATAGGGTGTTCAACTTTTCTTTACCCGAAAGGACTAAAAAAAATTAACAATTTTTAATTTAATTTAACAATTTTTAACAGAACTTTATCGAAGGTAAGTTTCTTTTTTGTATATTAATATGAAAAATGTTGGTGTATTATATTGCAAGGTGCATAATAAGATGGTATTTTAATCGACTTGCAAACAATATGCCGTCATTATGTTCAATTTTCTGTATAGCAATTGCGCACGCGTATGCCTCACCCAAATCTAATCTGGTCGAGGCTCACGGAAATTAAAAATCAAATTGATTTTTTTTCTTTTATTTCCTTTTGAATAGAAAAAAAGCTTTAAAGTTGCAATATACACAGCCTTTTGTCAAGATTTAAAGATTGTATGTCATTTAAAATGATTAAAATTACAGTAAGTCTTCCTGTCTTGTTATTGGTTTCATAATTGTTTTAGACACGTACTTGAGAAATTTCCTTCCATTAATTTTTTTTACTATATACGGATCGTTCTATGTCTGTGTGTGTGTCCATTTTTATGGTGTTCATTTCATTATTTTAAGATACGGACCGTATTTACATTTGCAGGTTGAAACTGGCTGTACTTATCGTGTGCTTCTTAGACAGGTAAAATATCATCAACGGAAGTGTAATGCTTAATCTCAAACGAAATGCCAATTTATGGATTCTTCTTTAGCTAAAATTCAATATCATGGTTACTGAGGCAAAAAAGAAATCAATCTTTGCTTTATATTCCCATTGAAAATACATGTTCAACTTAAAAAAGTTGTGTACACTCTAGAATCAATGAACACAAAACCAATACCGAAGAATGGTGAAACAAATGTAGAAAGCATGACAGAGAAACAAAAAGAAGAAACAACTTTTGCAAGAAATGAAACAGATATTCAACACAGTAAGGACGAAAGGGAATCGCATGAAGAACTAAGAGATTTGCATTCCAGTAGTGACTTCCGGTAATCAATCTGTGTGAAAAATACATTCATTGATTCATTGAATAAGCACATTCAGTATTAAAGAGCCTGAGCACTATGTTTACTTTAAGTAATCAGAAATTTCTATTGTAATGGAAGTTCTTTCTTATATTCTACATGTAACATGAAAATAAGACATTTATTTTAATATAGATTTTCGATACAATAAATTTATGATAATTATTCAAAAGCAAAACTTATAGCATATATAAGTAAACAATAGAGAGAAAAACAATTTTAATACAATAAGGAGGATTTTTACACCATAATTGTATGATGTACCACACACAAAAAAGCCTTTGGTTTGTCCATTTTCCTCTGGTGACGATTTGTACAGATATCTTGATATTGCTTTCCAAAATTTTAAACTTTAAAAATACAAGTATACAAACATGCTATGGTATAGACTTAAAAAAGGAAAGAATTCAGTATGCAGAAATTGAGAAGAATTTTCTTCAAATAGAAATGAATGAACACAACAGCCAAATCATCGCCAAACAAGTAATGAGCAATGTCAAGTAAAAATGAAAGAAAACATTAGCCAAATAATTGTAAAACAAGTAGTGTGCAATGTCAAGTAAAAATGAAAGAAAACAAAAGCCAAATTATTGCAAACAAGTAATGTGCAATGTCATAGCAAAAGTGGTGACGTCTATCAATAAAAACATGCATGTATGGATGAAATTAAATTCATGATGAAATTTACAACATGAAAAAAAATCAAAGTGCCTTAAAATTGGAAAAAAATTAACGCACTTTGATAAACATTTTCAAAGTGCTTTAAGTTTGGTACCAATTCAACGCACTTTGATTTTTTTCTCAAAGTACGTTAAGAGTTTTCATCAATTAATTTTACCATGGAGTCATTTAACGCACTTTGAAAAAAATTCGAAAAACGAAAATTCTGGATTCAGATTTTAGTAATGGAAAGATTTTATTTCAGTGTTATTTATCTTTGAAAAAACTTGAATTGATAAAAAAAAATGAATTGATAAACTCCCGTCTAGAGGAGGAAAAGACGGGTAGAAAATATCTCAGCTGAACTCGTTCTCTTTCAAAAGGCAGGCGTCGGTAACAAATAAAACGGGGAGAGGAAAGTAATAACCACCCCTAACCACCCCCCCCCCCCAATGATAATAATAATAAGTCGAAGTTTCAATGCATATATGATTTACATGTATATCTTTCCAAAATAAGCGGGGGTCTAAGTCTTAGTCACCTTACCCTTCACCCAGTTTTGAAGTTTATGCTATACCCAAAACATCAAAACCTAAGATATTTAAAACGTCGACATCTCAGGTCCTGAAGTGATCTTATCATAAAAAAGTTATACAACTAGAGTCAATTACTTATCATACCGAATATTTGTAAGAATATTGATCAAGCTGTACATTTTTTCAAAGTGCGTTAATATGGTCGATATTCAAGCACTTGGAAAAAAAAATTCTGTTAAAAGTGCGTTAGCTTGGTCTATGGAATCCGTGATGCCATGGTGCGATAACGATGAAGCGATGTTGCGATGACGATGGAGCTATGGTGCAATAGCGTGATGACGATGATGCGATAATGCAATGATGATGGTGCAATAAAACGATAGAGTAAAGGTGAATATTGCTCCATCGTCATCGTACCAACGCATCTTCGTCATTGCACCATCGTTCCATCACTATCGCAACATCGTGATATCGCATCATCGCTTCATCGTGCTATCGCACCATCGCCATCGCATTATCGCGCCGTCGCTTCATCATTATCACACTATCACAACATAACTTCATCGTTATCGCACCATTGCTTCATCGTCATCGCATTATCGTGTCATTGCATTATCAACCTAAACCTCGATGGTGCGATGATGCGATAGTGAACTGCATGGGATTATCCGGATTCCATATTCCATTTTACGCACTTTGACAAAATTCTTCAAAGTGGTAATTTTTCAAAGGACATTGCAACAATGCATCATCGTGTTTAATATATAGATTCGTGATTTATATTTTAGAAATACCAGCAGTTACGACTGTCTTCAGGAAGATATATCCGAACTATATAAATCTATACAGATATTAATTCGACGACCAGGCTTTAAACAACATATAAAACCCGATTTGCACAAATTTGAGGATATTGATAAACAGTTAGATTTGAGAAAGAAGGATCTTATGATGACGGATTGTGCTATTGTGGTAGCAGGTAATTTTAGTTTTCATGTTTTATAAACAACAAACATTGTTTTATATCACATATTAGGTCAAAATATTTAGATATTTTAAAGTTTATTTTTACACTTTCGTCGACGTCCTATTCTAAGGGGAAACAAGCTCTGGAAAATCATCCCTTATAAATCTAATACTCGGCAAAGATATTTTACCATCTGATGTCAAGGCAACGACAACAAGAGTGTGTAGAGTAAGATACTCAGAAAAAAGAAAAGTATCAACGCTAGATAAAGACGAGAAAGTGTTAGCTATGTCAGAATTTAATGATGAAAAAGACATGCTTAAGATGTTGGAAGTAGCTAAAACATGTGACCATCGCATAGAATATGTGGATATTGGTTTTCCGGTACCGCTGTTGAAGGTAGGCTGCGAATATTTATTTATTTTATTTTTTTTTTTTAAGTATAAGATTAAAAAAGTCACGCACTTTTTTTGCTAGTAATCAGCAAATACGAGGGTTGTTCGATATATATTGTGTATTGTACGATATCTCAAAAGCATTCGATTCAAATAGTCAAATGGACATAACATATCTTCAAAGTATTCTCCGTGATTTGAAATACACAATTTTAATCTCTGAATCCATTTCTGAAATGCGTCACGGTACGCTAGTTTAGGTATACCTCTTAGGCACTGACTGACGGCTGAGCCAAGGGTCTGTCGGGACTTGTATCGACGACCAGATGAGAACTTCTTAAGTTTTGGGAAAAGGAAAAAGTCGCATGGTGCTAGATCGGAAGAGTATGGTAGGTGTGGCAAGACGGTAACCTTCTCAGACTTCAAAAAATGCTTCACAAGCTCAGATGTATATGATGGAGCATTATTATGAAGAAGGCGAACATGCCTAAATCCCGACACAGGACGTCTTTTCTGATAATATTTCTTGAGATTTTTCAGTACAACATCTCGGTAATACCGACCTGTAACACTTTTGCCCTTCGGCACCGGAATTTGTACGGCTAAACCATCACAAGAGAATAATATGCAATAAAGGACCTTCTTTGTGCTCATTTTCCTTTTGGCAACTACAGGCTTTCTACCGTGTTTGGTTAGCCATAATTTGTTTCCAACTTTTCTTACTGGTTCGAAATAGTGAACCTATGTTTCGTCACCAGTAACTGTGTTTGCAAATTGTCTTTGATTGAAGTTTGGAAACATTTTAGAAGTCGCTTAGGGGTTTGTATTCGTACCTTTTTTGGTCATCTGTCAATATATGGGGTATCCATTTGGCAGAAATCTTTCGTACTTTCAAAATACGCTTCAAAATGAAATGCACCCGCGATAGCGATTTGCCAACAACTTTGGCAATATCACGAATCGTGTACCTGCCATCACTTTCAATTATTTCCTTGACTTTTGAGACATTTGTCTTGCCTGATACAGTCACAGGTCGACCCGATTTTACTGCCATATTTTAGGGACTCTGTGTCAGTCAGAAATTTCTGTCTCCAATTACGAACCGTCTTATAAGATAATTATCAGACCCAGAAACTTCCCCCCATTCAGTAAAAATCTGTTTAACCAAATTATCGAGTTTTGTGCGAACTTTATATAAGCTCTAATATTTTCAATATTCTTAACCCGTTTCACAACCATTTTTACAACAGTGGTCAACGACTGGCTCTATTGAAATGACGATAATTTTATAACCATGTGTAGTTGAAGGCTCGTGTTTATACTGTTGGCAAGGTATTGAATAGAGTTATGCAGGCGTATAAATATCGACGAAATCGTGCAAGGCGTTATCGCGCTGTGGTACAATACACAATACATATCGAAAAACCCTCGTAAACATAATCCACTTTCCACCATAACACACATATATAAAACGAATTTCTCTTATTTACTTCATGCCCCCATAATCGACAATCACTTCAGGGGTTTTGTACTGTCCATTCTGTCTGCTTTTTTGGTTGTCATCAAAATCTTTGACCTTACCAAAACCTCTTTTGATAGAGGACGTATGTCCATCATATACGTCTTATGTACTCCTTGCGACAAGATGTTTGTTATGGTACTAAATTCTACCTGTTGACCTTGACCTTTCAGTTTTAACAACATTTACCAAAACTTTAACCTTGGCCATAACTATTGAGCAGTTGGTGGTAGGACCCACATATTCATCTTTATCAGGCACGCAGAAATCGGGGGGGGGGGGTCCTTCCTCCTTACTTTATTTCCCAACAGTACCTTTGCTACTGAAAATTTCCATTAGAGTTTGGTTTGTAACGATTTCTTACCACAGTATAGTGATATCAAGGAAAATTCCGTATTGTATGCAAAAAAAAAAAAAAATGGAAATAGAAAGGAAATGGCCTCGAAAAAAAGTACAGGTAAGTGAAAAATAATCTCTAATTGCCCACCTGCCAATTTCAAAAACGATGCTACATGCCTGTTTATACAATATTTCTTTTTACCTTCTAACCTTGACCTTTGATTAACTAACATTGTTAAAAACTACCTAGTGATGGCGTCGGCGTATCACAACACGTATAGATGATATTCAAAACTTTAGTGCCAGATCATATTCCTATAAGATCATTTCAAGAATGTGTTACTTACAATGAATCTTTTCTCTACAATTAGGGCAACATTATAATAGTTGATACACCTGGAAAAGGAGACTCAAGTCAAGATTTTATGGCGAATAAGATGATGAATTATCTACCAAATGCAATGGCTTTTATATTTGTTGTAAGCGTTGTTTCAGCAGGTGGATTTCAGGATGATAGGGTAATCTTTAATTAGTCACTTTTGCCAAAATCAAAAATTTATATATTTTTAAAAAACGATATCCTTGACAAGTTGAACATTTTTTTTTAAAACTCGGTTATTGAAAAAAAAATATACAAAGGCGTCCTTTCTATCTTCTATATTTCTAGTCAAGATAATTAATAATCACTTAATGAATTTGTAGCTTCCACATATTATAAGGAAAGTTAGGGAATCGATGAGTCGAATGTACTGTTTCGATGCTCAAGATGCAATTTTTCTGCTCAACAAGTGGGATACACTTTCGAAGAAAACAAATCGAGAAGCCCTTTACGAAGAACTGAGAGTTACAGTACATGAAATATGGGAAGATGTAAAGGATACTAATATTCTGAAATTCTCCGCAGATAAGGTAAAGAATTATATTACATAATTTTTTTCAAACATGTCCTTAATCTTTTGTTTGAACTATGCTACTGCAAGTAAATCAGCAAACATTAATAAAGCATTGAATTCATGGTTTGGGTTGTCTTCGGTCCTATAACACACCTGGCCGTGCCGACAAATTGAATATGATAATTTGTCGTCACGGCCAGGTGTGTTATAGAACCGAAGACATTCCAAAGTATGAATTCAATGCTCTTATTTACATTTTCTAATTTTTTACTACCATAATTGTTTATTTCCTCCATGTTTAATGTGAATTTAGCGCCCTTCAAATCTGCCGTGGTTAATAGATGTAAGAGCCGTTTGTGACGTTAAATGATGTTGCAAAGTTAAAATAAATAACGCAAACAAACATTGCGAGGGAAAAAAAGTGGCATATTAAGTCTTAACGCACATAACGTTAATTTTTACGTTAATTTTTCAGTGTTATTGATTTTCATTAAATTGAAATGAAACATTTTACATGTTGGTGTCCCTAGATTATTGAAAATGTTTATAGTTTCTGCTGTGTATTCTAACGCGCGGTGACAAGGTTTCGCGTGTGTTATTGAAATTTGAACATCGTGGATTTCTAATCGATTTCAAAAGGAAAATTACACTGAATGTAAATATAAGTTAATAAATCAACGTCATTGCCTCAAAGCTATCCCGATATACAATGTAACTGAATCGGTTAAACTATCTCAAGAACCCACACTTAAGCTGCGTAAAATAAACTTAAGTCTATAAAAGTTTGTTGCATTTGTTCTTAAAAGTGTGTCAATCTCGTACGAAAATCTAAATTGTGTGTCAGCTGCATTTAATCTCAAATCTCAAGGAATGGATAAAGTGACAATGCTATCTTCTGCTTCATGGAAACTATTTGCATATGTTTTTAAACACTTGCTTAGGTTTATGAAGAAGAAGTCTACACTGCGGAATTCGAATCATTTTATAAGATTCTCAAAGAAGTCATAACCAAGAATGAATTCAAAAGAGTTACAGTTCACCTGAGGTAAGACTGCTTTGATAGAAAAAGAAATATACAAATAATAATAGTAATAAAAAAATAATTGCTCACCTTTTATCAATCTTCTTGGTCCAAGACATATTTTAGGTTTCCCATACCAAAACATGGGCACTGTCATTCCTTCGATAAAACTAAAGGGTACCAATCTCTTATCAAGAGTTCCTCTTATACCACTGAATAAAATTTCATGATAATTTCATAGATTCATTACCACATCATGCTAATGGGCATAATTTATTTCTTTTTTTTGCGCCCGGATCGATAGTTCCAGGGCGTATAATGTTTTTGTCCTGTATGCCTGTCTGTCTGTTTGTTTGTCTCGAACTTCAACCTTCAACATAACCTTTGAACAATGAAAGATAGGGACCTCTTATTTGGTATGCATTCTCCACTAATTAGATTCGTTCAAATGGCACCACGATTAATGACCTTGTGACCTTAACTAAGGCCTATATGCTAAAAATACACTTTTTCTGCAAACATTAACCTTTGCCATAACTTTTGAATCATGAAATGTAGAGACTTTATGTTTGGAATACGAACTCAACTAATTAGTTTCTTTCAATAGAAACCAAGATCAATGACCTTGTGACCTTGACTGTGACCTTAATGCTAAAAACAGCGTTTTTCGAACTCTGTTGCCACCGGGCGCATAGTGTTTCAAATAGACATCGTGTTGTCCTAACACTTATTTTTGGTTCCCCAGGGTAAACAGTGACTTTGCCATTAAAATTATGGAAAGCCGGGAATATCATTTAATGAGCTCATAGGTCATTGTACCTCTAGTTTCAAACTGTTGAAGTATATTATTAAGGCCCTCCGTCTTCAGCGAAATACCTTACTGTTAGTCTTTCTTTTTCACGATTTTTTATCCATCTTGTGCACGCGAGCGTGACTTAATGAAAACGATAGAACATGAAATAATCTTTTATTTTTATGATGTCTCATCAGGTTAAGAGATTTCTGCATTTAATTTAATATTAGAGGGTTAGTTTGTCCGCGATTTCTTTATAGGGCTAGAAAGCGATAATAAAGCAATAACTGTAGATTTTCTAAACGCATTTTATATTCACGGAAATTGCTGCACAACAAAGCTCGCTCTGGCCGAGAAAAAGTATTTCGAAATTTCAATTTTTTTTTCAAGTTTTTCCTCAAGATCCCTTTATCGGTAAATAATTTCTTACGTGTAGAACAAAAATAGTGCAAAATTAAAAGATTTTTCATCTAATATTACAAAAAGGGACTGAACCCTAAAATAATGAATTTTGAAAGGCCGAGGTTTTTTTCTTTATATCTCAAAACTATCTGACACTGGAAGCATAAAACTTAATTCTCCGTCATTGAAAATCTTTTGCAGTCGAATTGGAAGTAACAGGAAATGACTTACGTTTGAAATAATAAACATAAATTTAGAGGAGTTAAATAATTGGAGACGTATTTTAATCATTTTTTACTTCTGGTCAAAAAGGACGGAAGTTGCTGTGCTACGAGCTTTGTTTTCGTTAAAATTAGGTTCTAAATTTAGAGCTTTTTCATTCTTCACAAACTTCAAATGTGATGTATTTTAATGTTTATTCTTTATTTTTTAAATCATCTTGTTACTTTTAGCAATGAATATCAGACCCCGTGGTACAGATTTTTAACACTAAAATATAGTGTTTTCTTGAACTAAAAAAAAGCTGTTTTATTAAATGCAATTCATATAATTTTAATTTAAAAATAAGTTAATGAGAATGGAGAAGTTTTTTCTATTGTTTACCCGTTTGAAGAGAAGCGCGTGCCATGTACATGTAGCTTTATTTTTATTAAAACCCAGATTTAATAAACTGTAATATATGTATTAAATATTAATGTTACAGATTTATAGAATCCTTCGTTGATGCCTGTGATATAAGTCTTTCCAGCAAGCTTAAATGTGCAAGACAAAATACAGATGATACTATAAAGGACCTGGATAAGCTTTGTAGAGATCTACAGGTCATCCAGACTAAAAGAACAGAGGTAAATCTCGTTACATGCAAAGTATAATAAATTCCTACTTTCCCACAAAATATACATGTAATAATTATGACACTGGTGTTTTCTTTTTATATTTTAATCTGATTAAAGCAAACTTGATACAAAAGGTTCAACTTAGTTTAGTATTTTCTTATCAACATTTGTCAGCCATTCTTATTTCCATCTTTGATCTCCCCTCAGACATTTTTTTCATATTATGACGTCTTGTTGGCATACAACGAAACAGTTTTTACCAAACAGTTCCGATTTTTTCCGTATTTGAAGAAGGAGATAATTAAAGCAGACTTACAATGTGGGCATTAAGATATTGAGAGAAAAAAATCACCCAAAATTAGGACTAAAAATCCAGGCGATTTTCGGGCTTACATTCATAAACAAAAATGTAAAACATTTCAATATAAAAAAGACAACATTCACTTAATAAAAACGTTCAATATGTATTATGTGAAAATTGTTTACTTCCACTTTAGGCATATTCAAATCTCCAAAACAGAATTGAAACTTTTCTGAATGAAACTGCAGAGGATCTTTACCAGTATATTCAGAGCAAAGACTTAGAAACTATTGTTCTACAAGGAACGGAAAAATATACGCGCTTTACAATTGGTCGAGAACTAGACGCTCGAATAGAAAAGGCGGCTCTTTCTTGGCAGGAAAAAAATATTGGAATGTTGTTTGAAAGACCAATTTTACAAAACATCACCGATAACTTTATCAAACTTCACGAACATTTACATAAAATTAAAAACAAAATGACAGGAGTAAAAACCCCTTTTGATGTCGAAAACAAACTTGGCCCGGTTCTTGTCTCATTGATTGCTCCCAGCAGTACAGCTGTTGCTGGAAGTATGGCGATGATGTATATGTCTGTAAATCCTAAGGCCGCCCAGGCAGTTGCAGCAACGGGAGTGGTTACTGGTCTAGTAATTACAGGACTAGTTGCAGCGGACGTTCTTGATAACTTTGAGACCGTCGCTAAAAACGCTTACCAGGCTAGAATAAACAAGATAACGAAAGAAAAAATAAAAAAAGCATTACAAGATACGTATGCAGAAAGGTTTTCATTCATTGTAACAAGCTATCTCGAAGGGGATTTGAAAGATGAAATCGATGAACTGTCGGAGAACGTCAATAAAACGAAAAGCAGGATAGACTTTTACAAAAATGAAGAGTCAAACTTGCTTTCACTGAGCTCAGAAATCACAGAAATTCGAAGCCGAATGGAAGAAATCAAACAGGTAGAAATAAGACTTGAATGATATTTGAAATGAGCGTTTTATATGGAAACAACATGTGATTACCTCTGTGTAGGATTGGCTTTCATTTACATAAATTATGTAACATGTTATTTTTACGAAAAATGCTTCAATTTTATTTTGTCTTCGATGTTTGCTTTAAAAATGTAACATTATATCATCAGTATCATTACTGTGGAACATAACTTACGATTGATAGATTTACAGTTTTTATATATTATAAAACAGGACATGACGTGTATTTTAAGATGTATTATATTTTTCCATTGTTTCACTAACACAAATTCTTCTAACCAGTTTTTTAAAAGTTTTATTTAATATTTATGAAAACAATATGATAAATTTAAAGTGTTTTCAGATGTTCATATAAAGGCGGTATAATACCGTTTAGCGGGTCTTTAAAACGAATTTTGTCATTTTTTTTGCTCAAATATATGCCATTAATTTCGGCAGATAAAGATGTCCTTTACATTGACGAGAGGAACATTATCTTTAGGACTAGGTTTGGTATATTTGATATGCACCTTAACACCGATTTACACGAAAGCATAAATACCTTTTAATTTAATCTATAGACTGTGGTATAAATGGCAATGTATTTGGTTGGATTGATTATCATTTGTCTGAAAGGCATAAGAAAATTGTAATAGATGGTTTAACTTTACTACCTGAAATTGTAGATACTAGTAATGAAGTCTTTTTTGAGACCGAATCTATTTCTTTTGCACTTTAATGATATTTGTGATAATCTAGTTAAAAAAACTTCTTGCCCATGACACTTCTTTGTATGTTAGGGTAGACGGAAGCAGAACAATTACTTATTGTGATCAACGTGTAGGACATATTGATTAATTGTATAAAGAATGCCTTGATGATTGTAATACTAAAAAAACTGTAATTATAATTTTAAGCAGAAAACCCTTTTAAATTATCTTGCTCAAATTTGAGAATATGGCTGAAATATAACAAAATACTCTCTTACACTCGTCTAGGTTTAAAATTGCAAAGAGAGGTAATGTGGATATCACAAATATAAATGATTCATTAAAAAGCTGCAAAAAAGAATTAAACATGCTTGGAATGCTTAAGTATAATGTCGGAAGTAAAACACATGGTAAGATAATTTTTTTTTTGCATTTTTTAACTGTGCTGAAATACTCAAAGTTTATTGGAATAACTGTTCTTAACAAACATTCTAAACTTTTAAGACATACAAATTGAAGCATGCAAAAGTATCACTTTATTTACATGAAAATCTTCTCGTTCAAAATTGTATGATAAATCAGGATGAGAATTTCTAAAAACAAGGAGAACAATTCATAAGAAAAGTTCATTTTATAAAAGTATTAATTAGAATTCTCCCAAAACTGAATAATTCTGTTGACCCTTATCGCCCTTCAAGTCTATCAAATAAGTTTCAGCTTTTCAAAACACCTTGCCTGACAAAATCAATATTTGTATGAGGATTGATAAACCTTTTGAGCAATACTTTTGTGGGTTATAAATATGACTCTGCTATATAATTTGAGAACTTTTTGTAAATGACATCCTTGATTTTATTTAACTTGTAGAAGAATCATCATTTGATTGCATACTAAAGAGTTGGTATTCTGTGGGGGTTTTCTGCAAGTGGGGAAAGTCTGCCCTTGGATCTAAATTGAAAGATTCATCGTACATATATCAAATCATGCATTGTTTACATCTTAAAAGATGGATATAATGAAAGAAAAAACACACTTTGTTTGAGTGTATTTTCTCCACTGAAGAAAACCGTAGTAATGTGTGTTCAATTATGTGTTTTTTTTTCCTGAAAGGCGGATGTTGTGCCAAATCACATATTGAATATGAAATTAGTAAATTCAATATGGAGGCATTTTGGGGAAAGAAAAATCCGAGATTTTGCACTGATTTCTTCTTTATTGTGTGCATCTGTACCTAGTTATATCATATATGATATAGCTGGAGACCATGACTTGTTGAACTGCGCTGTTTATATTAAAGGAATTGTCCAATTGTGGAAAAAACTAACCACAGGATCGGGAAACAAATTAGAAAAATAATTTTTTGGTGTTGCATGTCCATATACTGATATATACGCTATAATATTTTAAAACAGAATGAGATAAAACTTGTTGATAGAATTACTGAAGCATTAGAAATAGGTTAAAAGGACAAAACTTATCTTATTACATAGACGTTAGCAAATCCATTGATATTATAAAACAATCCAATGAAAAGAGCGAAGATAGCTTTACTAGTTACATTTGGCGCGATTATACCAATTTTCCGTTTTTGAACAATATAAACGGACTGATCCAGTGGTATAGAAATGCAGAAAAAAGTATACACGGACATATTGAAACGGTGAATCTCATGGGAAAATCTGTTCCATGCAAAAACAGAAAAAGAAGGTAGACTACAGTATTTTGCATCAGTAATATAATTTTATCTGAAAACTGCAAATGTAACAGGGTTGGGTTATTGAATAAAGGAATAACTGCCTGTTGGGGGTTCTGAACAAGACTTTATTCACCATTCAAATGAGGAAAAGTGAAATAACCCTGCCATATTAATAATATAACAAGTGTAAATAAAATTAAGCATAAAATGATAATGATTGTTAAAGAAGATACATGTAATTCGTTACACATATGATATACATATATTTCTCCGCAATTAAAGCACAATCAATTATCATCATAAAACTTTACAATAATAATCATCATAATGTATTTGAACATTATAGATTAGTGAATAATAAAAACACTATGTGCATACCATTCTATGGGAATAGGTGAGTACAGCAAGCAGCAATACTGCATGTACAAATCATACAGTCTGAGTGGTCTATTAATAAATTACACAATATTACTCACCAAATCATAGAATATATAACCTTGAAATATTTGAAAATGAGATCTTTCTATTACATGATGCTTTAAAAATATAGTTCTCACTGATCTCCTTTACTAAAGGAAAGTGCTTGGAAAATAAATTCAGTACGCAAAATTACAGATTGGACAATTAATTGACATATAAGAATCATATTAATATAAGTAATAAATTGTTTACTTACTAGAAGGAGAAGAAAGTCAGTCTCTATGCAAATGTCATTTGAGTCAATTTGTCTGATGACAAGAAATACATCTAAACTGACCAACCTCTGGACAAAGAATGTCCAGAAAAACAAGAACATTCTTGGGAAAAAACATTAACCAATCCCCAAATAAAATACAAAGTAAAACACCAATGGAATTAAAGAAACATCCAATATTAGGCGTTTGATGATCGCCTTGAAATAATTAATTACCTAAGGTCATTTCTACCTATATACATGTGCAGGCATTGACAGACTATAGGTGTAATCACACACAAGACTTTAGACTGAATAATTAATTATATTACTCATTATTATGCTTCCTGTCAGTTTGTCTCTATATAACCCATACCCTACTATTCTCGCATAGTGGTCTAAGGATTTATATAGCGTAAGCATACTATGCCGAAATAGTGCACGGCCTTATTTTCTGAGTAAAATTTTTTAGTGTGCACCCATTGGGGAATCGAACTCACGACCATTAGGTTGCCAGTCCGACGCCTTATCGATAACGCCACAGAGACGATCACTCATTAAGAGAATTTTATTAAATATATAAACTTAATTTATACAATTGACACAAGAAGGAGAAAATAGACAAATATTATTTGAAAACAGTTATATTTATTCTAAGGAATCTTAGATAAATGTGTACAACAAAGTTTCAAACTAATTACATACAGATCGTTAGATGAATTTATATCATGGGGTCATTAAAATGCTTTTTATATAGCGCTTGATTGAAGGATGTAAAAGAAAATTATCAATGAGAATCCACGTCTGTAATCAAATCAGTCTTACTAACAAAACAGAAAATAAAGATGAGTATATTTGGGACAATAAATCCTGTATATATTTAGAGAAAATACTAGTAACCAAAATAAATAAGCATGCAACTAATTTTAGCATGAAGATTTTGAATGAGTTTTTGCAAGTGCTCTGTGTTACCACAATTATTTTCAGGAAAAAATCAAATGGATTGTCGCATAAATAATAACAACAGTCAGCATATTAATAACAATAGTGTTGCATTATGCATGTACTATGCCTAAAAAGATAAGGGTTTGACACATAGTGCACTCGCCTTCCGGCTCGTGCACCATGTGTCAAACCCACACTATTTAGGCATATGCACACATGCATAATGCAACACTATTATATAAATATGTGCATTTCAAATTAAATCAAATATAATAAATGACAATTGTAATACATGTTCATAATATATACATGTATACAAAGAAAAAAAATGATGAAATATGTATCTGCCACACAAATATCAATCCTGACGCCAGGCAATAATCTAAGAACCCACGATGTATAATTCAAAATTCTAAATATTATATCAACATCTTATATGGAAAGGTTTCCTCACTCTACGGTCAAACAAGAATGAAGGCATTTCTTTTCAGATTATAATACAAATGCTCCTGGAATATTCAATAATCTTTTAAAAATAATTTTTGTTGTAAAAGTAGATTTTTTTCTCATTATGGAATAAAAAAATGAAGAATATGGAGATAACGAACAGTATTCAATCTCAAAGTCCATTAAACAAAAGAAGTGCAGAGCAAACACGGATCCCTGAAACATAAGAGGTGGGGTCAGGTGCATTATAGGAGTGAGCATCCCCTGCCGACCGGTCACACCCGCCATGTGCTACCTGTCA